GAATATTAGTAGATATAATTTTTTTTATTAAGCATTCAGATACATCACTAACAAGGAATATGTTGCAGAATATGCCATGAGTACTATTGGAAAAAGTAATCAACAAGGACTATATTGCTAAAAATAAAATGCTATACTATTCATCATACTATTAGCAACAAGTACTATATTGCTAATAATAGGCTAGTATACTATTCAACATGCTTTTAGCAACACAATACTTATTGTTGAAAATGGGCTATTGCATTATTCATAAGAAAATCAGCAACAAGAGCTATGTTGCCAAATATAGGGTGCTGCGCTATTCAGAAGTAATTAGTAACAAGGCATATGTTGCTGAAAAGTGTGGTCACCGACTCCCTTCTAATTTTGAGCAACATAAGCCACGTTGGTGAAACCATAGTTTCACCAACGTGGCTTATGTTGCTAAAAATGAAGCCACAATTCTAGTGCTGAATTCTGATGCTTAGTTTTACCAACATAAGCCATGTCGATGAAACTATATAATCAACAACAAGGCGTATGTTATTGAAAAGTTTGGTCATCGGTTTATCTCTAATTTTAGCAACATAAGCTACATCAGTGAAATCATATTTTCGGCAATGTGACTTATGTTACTAAAAATGGTGTACAATTCCAATGAAGGATTCTAGTGACTATTTTTATCAACATAAGTCACATTAATGAAACTATATTTTCAACAATGTGGTTTGTGTTGTTGAAAAGGCACCATAAATCAGCAACATAAACTTATCGGTAATGTATTACCAAGCAAAACTTTTCCAAAAAAGTTTTTAGCAACAAGAACTATGTTGCTAAAGTAATTTTAGCAACATACGCAGCACTTTCAACAACATTGGTAGCACTTTGACTAACGTGCTCCCATGTTGCTAAAGAGGAGAATTTTAGTATTGATGGTTATCAATGGCTTCAATGAGAACCCGATTATTGTAAAAAGACCTAGAGGTGAGATTGTAAATCAAATCTAAATCTAGATCAGTTGGGAAAAGGATTCAATTGAGTGTTGATTTGAGATTTTGTTGAATCAGATTTGAAGGGTGATGGAAGTTCTTCATTTTCTAAAAAGTAAATAATAAAATAAAATAAAATAAAAATTACTCACGCTACATTACATAAGCGTCGTGCACTTACAATTGTACATTTTAACAAAGATAAAAACAATGATTATTACAAAAAACCAATAATGATAAACAACAGATTAAACATTTATTGACACTTGGCATGCTGTCTTCTTAGACACCTAGCATCTTACTCTATCACAGTTAGCTTACCATTTTCCACGTATTGTTTGTCAAATTTGGGTTTAGTTGTTTGCAATTGGAATTGGCTTTCTAGGTGTTGTAAGCCTTAACTCCATCATGAAGGAGAGGTCCAAATCATGATCCATGAGGATGAGGGAGAGGATGAAGAAGAACCCGCCAAGGGTAGTTATGTTTTTGGGTTCTTCCTTCTTTTTTTTTTTCTTTTTTTTTTTTGATTTTTTTTTTGTTGCACAATTAGAGACAACCATCTCCTATCTCTTATCTCACCCCACTTATGTGCCATGTAATTCGAATTCAGGATTTCTTACTTTCAGTAGAAGGAGATAACCATTAAGTTACTTAGATCGTTGACTTGATGTTGCATTTTAGTTTGTAATTTAAGTTATTAAAGTTGTTTACGGTAATTCCATATTTTACTATTATAGTATTTGTCTTAGTTAATTAAAGTAATGAATTAATCAAGGATTTTAATTACATATTTAGGTAATAAGAAGAGTTAAGGAAATTTAATTAAAATAGTGGAACCCAAAACAAAAATATTTTTAGTTAATTAAGATATAAATAAAGGAAATACGAATGTTGAAAATTCTAGAATTTTAATTTGGTCCAACCAAGCACAGGCCCCATATATAATAGACACGTCATAAAAAAATTGAAGATGAGTTTTTAAGTGATATAAAGGGCAACGCTATATTTAAAGGAAAGAATTAAATAAATGTATTCTTTAAAAATTAAAGAATTTAAAAAATATTTAAAATAATTAAAAAATAAAAATTAGTTAAAATTTTAAAATGGATGGATTAAAATTGATATTTAACTTAATTTTTATGATAAAATATTGAAAAACTTATAACCACAATTGGTTTAAATGAGTTATAATTTGGTAATGGGGGCTTGGGAAGAAAACCTTCCCGCTTTAACACCTACTTATATTTTTACTAATAACTTGTTAGTCTAAATAATAGAACTTTAATTTTTTAAGTAAAATTTTAAATTTAAATCTAGGAAATAAAAAGACAAGGACATGAAGAATTTACCTCCCTTACATAATTTAACTTGAATTAACTTTGAATTAGTTAGAATTCAATACAATTTTTGAATAATGGAGATTTAGTTTAAAAAAAAAACTAATTATATTTTTAATATAGTCTATTAATTATATTAGTTTTCAATTTTTTATAATCAATTCAACTTCTATTGTAACCGGTTATATCTTACCGTGCAATTGTGCTAGGAAATTAAAAAATCCTATCCCAACCGGTTATAAATTGTGGCTTAGTTTCTAGAATACCTTTTCAAACAAAATGGTGAACCGAGCACATTCTTTAGCCTTGTTTAGTTGGGGATGAAGCTCTCCTGACTTTCTCTTTTATTGCTTAAATGCCAAATTTAATCTCTAAATTTTTAATCTTAAATAATTTTAATATCTAAACTATTTTAAGGATTTTTTTAGTTCGTTAGCTCTAGAAATTGTACTTTTTTATCGTTTCATCAATTAATCATAACGAGCCCACTAACTTAATTAAAAGTGACATTTTTTTATAACATTGTAATGATACGTCACACCATTATTTTATGTGGAAAATAAAATTGCTGAAGTCCCACTCAACTACATTTAATAAATAATAAAAACTAATAAATCATATAAATATCCTTATAAATTTCATCTTCTTCCCTCATTTTTTTCATAAAATGATTTATTTACTTTTCAGTTCGACACACCTCATAACATATTTATTAAGAAATTATTTTTTTTTTAAATTTGAATTAAAAGTAAGAAAATTAAAAATTACAAATTTTAATGATTTAATGGGTAGATGTTTGTGGGTTTTATTAAATAGGAGAGTGTACCAATCATTTTCCATTTCTTTTTCTCCCCTTATTCTTCTTCCTCAACTCCAATGACCTCTCTCTCACTCTCCTCCTTGTCTTTGGTGGCCTCACCCTCAAATTTTGTATATTTAAACAAGGAGAACAGTACTCATCCTTTCCTTTCCCTTCTTTCCCTTCCCTTTCATTCCTTTACTAATTTTTATTCAAACATACCCTAAGCCTTAGTTTGGATTGGAGAAGTTTAGGAGAAGGGAAGGAGAAGAAGGGAAGGAGAAGAAGGGAGACACACCTCCTTCTTGTGTTTGGATTATTGACTTTGATGGAGGGAGATGTAACTCTCTCCACACTCTTCTATTTTCAATCCTTTCAAATCGGAGGGATTCGGAAGGATTAGATTTATACATTTATTTCTTAATTTTTTAAAAAAATAAATATATAAATATATTTTATATCAATTATTTTTTTAATTAGTGAATTTTAATTATTTTATTTTATTTTATTTTTTAAAAATTATTTAATTAAATAAAAATATTATTCTTCCTTCTCCTCTGTTTTTATTTATCCAATAAAGTTAATATCAATCATTTCCTTCACTTAACTTCTCCTTCCTTTCCTTCCCTTCTCTTCCCTTTCCTTTATTAATATTTATCCAAACAAACTATAAGGGTGAGCTTGGATTTAAAAGGTTAGAGAAGTTTAGAGGGGAGAGGGGAAGAAAGTAATAGAAAGGTCTCTCCTCCCTTTTGTTTTGGGTAAGCTTATTAAAGGAGAGAGAAGTGGAGGAAGATGGAATGATGATAAAATCCCTCCAAATCTCTTATATCTAATCCCTCTAATTTGAGGGAATTTGGAGGGATTAGATTTATTTTTGTTTTATTTTTTAATATTTTTCAAAAAATATAATTAAATTTTTTGTCTTAACTTTTATTTCAATAATTAAAATTATGAAATTATAATAAATTTTCTTTAATTTAATTATTTAATTAAATAAAAAATATAATCTTCTCCTCCCATATCCTTTCTTTTAATCCATCCAAGGGAAGTTAGTATTGATCTTTCCCTCTCCTCTTCCCCTTTCTTTCTTTCCCTTCCTTTCTTTCTCTTTTCTTTATTAACTTTTATCTAAATATGCCTTTAGAGTGTGTTTTGTTTGGAACTTTTTTAAAACACCAATTTAAATGTCAAATCAAGTATTTTATGCTTTTGGCTTGGTTTGGAAACTGAAAATCAGGGATCAATTGAACATAATAGGTTGAATGAGCTATAATTTGGTTATAGCGAGTGGGAAGTGCATCCCCAAAAATAAGCTTCCAAGTTGAATAACTGGTTTTATTTTCAATCCAGTCAATTTTCAAATTTTTATAACAAATTCAACTTCTATTTTAGGCAGTTGTATCTTGCTTTGCAATTGTGCTAGGAAATTAAAAATTCTATCACAACCGTCAATAAATTGTGGCTTAGTTTCTCCAATATTTTTTCCAAAGAAAATGGAGAACCGAACATAACCTTCTGCTTTGTCTGGTTGGGAAGTAAACTCCCTCTGATTATCTCCTTCATTGGTTAAATGTCAAATTTAATTTTATTTTTAATTTAAAATAATTTTAATCCCTAAATCATTAAAAAACTTTTTAATCTTTCCACCCTCAAAAATTTAAAATTTTTTCATTCTTTCGTCATTTAAGTTATTTATGACATGCCCGTTAACTTAATTCCCAATCAGCACGTTTTTTATGACGCGGTAATGACACGTCAGACCAACAACTTATGTGGAAAATAGGAATGTCTAAATCCCTCTCAACTGTTTTTTAATAAATAATAAAAATTTAAAAATTTCATAAACACCTTTGTCAACTTCATCTTCTTCCTTGATTTCCTTATTACCCCATTCTTCTTCATCAACTCTGGCAACCTCTCCTTACCTCTCTTCCTTTTCTCAAGCGGCCTCTCTCTCTTTTCTTTTTTCCGGTACCCACTTCTCTTCCCTCCCCTCTCATCCTTTCTTTGAATTTTATCTGGGTTCACAAAAACAAAACCCAAGAACGGGTTCGAGCAAGATCTAGGTTCATGCTTGAACCCATATCTGTGTTGGGTTCGTGAATGAACCCAACAACTTGAACCCAGATTTGGGTTCGAACATGAGAATTACCTATATTATCTTGTTTGATTACTGAGAAAATTGTCTTGTTTGACTGCCGTGAAATTGTTGATTTAAGTGCAATATTAATTTTGATTAATTAAATATAAATAAGTAACTATGTTTGATTAAAGTTAAATTTAGGTTAAATTGTAAGTTAATTGATTTGATTTATAATTTAATTCATAAATTAATATAATTGTAGTAGGTGGCCCAATAGATATGTTAAATATATGCTTGACTTGGCATTTTTTTTGTTTTTTGTGGAACTAAGTTTATGGATAAATTTAAGAAAAATGCTGGAATTTTCAATGGTTAAGTGTGACCTAATTTATGAAATAGCAAAAAAAAAAAAAGTATAAATTTTAAAGTTAAAGAACCTAAAAAAAAGCTTAAAATAGTTTAACAATATCTAAATTCACTTTTAAAATTAGACAATAAAAACAAATCACCATTAAAATAGATGCAAATTACCTAAACAGCTTATATACTTCGACAAATGAATTAAAATTTAACGTGAGCGGTAGAATAAGTTGAATTTCTTAAACGTGCTGGATCCATTTTTCTTATTGGAACGCGGAATAGGCTTTCTTTTTCTTTTTCTTTTTTCTTAAAACGCTATTTTAATCTCTTTATTTTTACAAAAAAAAAATTATCTTTTATTAAATTTTTTTTTTAGTTTCTAAAATTTATTATTTAATTTTTAAAATTTTTTATTATCTTTTT